ATCAGGGGAGCCAACCTTCTTTTTTTTTCACTATTTTCACTTCTTTCATTAGTTTCATTAGTTTCATTAGTTCCAATTCCTGTATTTCCTGCATTAGTTCGTTCCATCTTGCTTAACTGAACACAGCCTAGGATTTCAATACTTCTGTTTATACGCATTCGGCAATTTCGTATAAACAGAAGTATTAAAATCATATAGTTAAACTTTACCGGTTCCGGCATAAGTTAACAGTTATTGCTCGCATAAACCAGGCCTAACTCTTTCTCTGTCTATCAATGTCTGTGGTGGGATCAGGGCCTACTGTTTCATACCACCTATAACCTACCAACCCCTTAATCTCTTTCACTCTTCTTCACCCCCACTATTTTTCTATCCCCACTTTTCCACTACTATTCTATCAATCAGCGAAGACTTCTTTTTCCCCCACTACTTCGCTAGACAAAGATGAGGCTACTGTTCAACACCAGCTGTCTCTCTCGACGTTGAAGACATTTTCGACGTTGAAGAGATTAAAGGGTGATGGTAGGTTAGGTGGTATGAAACAGTAGGCCCTGATCCTACCACAGACATTGATAGACAGAGAAAGAGTTACTATTCAAAGTTTGTTGTCTCTCTCAACGTTGAAGATATCTTTTCAGCCAAACGCGCAGTCTATATATTATACGTCTATGCTCGGCTCTCGCGGAACGACCGATTCCAATCGATTCGCAATTTAATCGATCGATTAATCGACGACTGACCAATCTCGGTCGAGTTGATTACCGCCATCGGTAATCGGATTGCGAGACACGCCGCTGTGCCGTTCCGACGCTTTTGTTCCTAGGAAAGATTCGCGTTATCGATCGCCACGGTTGGCGGCGTTGAATTCAGTTGGATTCGACGGAACCGTTTGAAAGATACGTGTTGTGCGTTGCGACGTTCTCTCGTGATGAACGAACGGTGAATACACGAAACAAAGCGTGAGTCAAAACGAGGCAAAAAGCGATAAACGCGCGTCAGTTAGTGTAACAGAAACGAGGTTCCGTTGATCGATCGGCATCGGAGCTGACAGCATGTTTCGCACAAAGAAGGATGTCGATCGTCACGTGCAAAACATCTTCAGCAAGCTGCAGAATGACAACGAGGTAAGGTTACTTCGTTCCGCGAGCGGTTCTCGCGTCGCGTTTTCCTTCCCAGGCGTTTTATTTGCCGACCATTCCCGTTCGATTTCTTCCCGTTTTGACGTTCCATCTCTACCTCGATGACAATATCAATGTTGAACAGACGCGTACGATGCGCAAAACAGCGTGTGATCCTCATGTACCGGAGACTTCGAGTCATCGCACGGAAGTGGGCACGAGTCGCAAGCGTATCAATGATGGCGAATTTTCGCGGGAAAAGGTTCATCCACTTACAATACCGATCCGACAAATCTCAATTAGATCAGATTTTGATTAAATTGGAGTTGTGTATCGTATTTTTTTGTTTTGTTTTTTTTTTTAACAATTTTTTTGCGCGTGCATATTTTACATAACTTCCGTGTATGAGTGACGACAAACGAGCTTTTTATTTGCGGTAGCCATATTTTAAGATGGATTCAAAATTTAATAACAAAATTGTTGTGACTTCGAAGTGAAATATTTTTAAGAAACTATTTTTTACTTGCAGTTTTGTTGCGTTTTTACATACATTGCGCACTCTGTGTACGTTTAAATGTAAATTATAAATTTATTTAAATTTGTTAATATATAAATAAATTAATATGTAAATTATTATAAAACAAAGTTTGAAGATAGAACAAATCTCTAGCGATGCTCTGTAGATTTAAAAGATTTAAAAGTAAACAAATTTTTTATCAAGAGCTTACTTTCAAAATTTTGGAAGTTTTATTTTTCCAATTTGTCTAAAATGTCTTTGTGTGTTTTACTTTTTAATTGCAGAAAAATCTTCGTTGTTACAATGTTGCCAAATTGTATTATCAAGTAGGTGATTATGAATCGGCGAGAAGATATGTATCTAGTTACTTAGAAGTGCGAGATAGTTCTGCTGGTGCCCACAAATTGTTGGGTCAGACCTATGAGGCACTTGGTCAAAAGGAAGCAGCTTTGAATGAGTACAAAACCTCTCTCGAGTTAGAAGCAAAGCAAGACGATCTCGTTTTAAAAGGTAAGGTGTCAAACATTCACACTTATCTTCGTATCTCTCAGATACTTTTGTTGGGATAGTGTTTTTATCGATCTTTGTTTTTTTTTGTTTTTTTTTTTTTTTTCAATTTTGTAGTATGCGAGTTACTAGTTGACACAGATATAGGAATGAATGTCAACAAAGTGAAGTACTGGTTGGAAAGAGCTGACAAACAATTTCCACATCATCCGGTAGTTTTTCAATTAAAGGAGAAATTGTTGAAGGTAGAGAGACCAACCAATAACTGTGAAGATCTTGAGGCTCTTATTGCATGTAAGTGTAAATGTTCACTTTCAGTATGTAGAGAGTAATTGGAAGAATGGTAAAATGTTTACGAGATATTTATGTACGAAATATTTTTCCAGCTGAACTGGCCGCAAGACCAACCGACGTCCAGCTTCGTATTAAATTATTATGCCATTACATGTCGCAAGGCAAATTAGACAAAGCTTATGAACACGCCGTCAGTGTAGAATCTACTGTTTGTCATAGAAACAGTATCGTCTGGTATCAATTGCTTTACGAGTTACTAACAAAATGCAAGGAGAGCAAATCCAACGACTGGGCTTTTTGGCTTTTCTATGTATCTGTATCGGATAGATACGCAGCACTTGCTCTCAAAGAACAGGGCAATGATGTGAAACTAAGTTATACGGATGCAGTTCAAGCAGTATTCAAGTGCGTATATTATATATCTCTTGAAGAGACTTACTTTCAAACAAATAGTGTAAAAAATAGAGTTGCGACAAAATATATAAATTAAAAAAAAAAAAAAAAAACGAATAATATAAGTAAATGATTGATTGTTTCAGTTTTGATCAAAATTTGAACAAGATGAAGTCAAAATTTTCCGAACAGCACCCATTCACGGACTATTTGCTTAACCACATGTGGGGTCAGTTGAATTTTCATCTGGCTTGTTTATTGTTGCGCAAAACAAAACGCGAGCAGGGTAGTTGGGTCGAAGCCGGAAGACTGTGCGCGCCTCTGCTGTTAACCGCGTTGCATATGTCTCCTATAGATAATCGTGCGAACATCTATATCGAAAATACCTCGTTCAAGGAACATTTCAGTGTGTGGACGAGAGAAGCCGCGTATCGATGTTGTCAAGCAGGTACGTTCTGCGAGATTTTTCTCGTGATATTAATTAAAAATGATAATTAATTATTCTTGCTAATATATATTACATGTACATACACACTGTGATGTTTTAGGTTACATTCTTCAAGACTACGCCAAGGATGATATGAAGAGACTCATGGATAAAATCGACAAGTTTTGCACAGGACTTTGGAAAGAACGTATTTATCAGGTACTGTTTCTAATCAACTTTTATTTACGCGAATTGTGACAATTGGAAAGCATGCTGTAAACGCACATTCACTCGTTTTTTTATTTTATTTTTAGAGAATTTTCGTGACCAGGACGCACCTTGATCGTATGCGGAAGTCATTTTTCTGCACCCATTCTGTTCCCGACCCTCCTCTGCGTTTCTGCGCGAGCAAGCTGAGCCATTACAACCAACGTACGTGCAATCCTTATTTTAAATCGTGAAGAAATATCAATGGATTAATATCTTCTGTATATTTTGTAATTTTTTTCACACGTAATCGTGTATTTGATTTTTTTTTTTTTTTTTTTTGCAGTTGCGCAAGAGGTGTGGCCCGCGTCGTTGCATCATCAGATCTGGCTCGGTCTGGAGAATCGGCCTCAGCAGAAAGACGCTCCGTATCCGGATCAGTACTCGCACATCTTCCCGGCGCTGCAGTTTTCGGTATTCAACACAAATCAGGCGGCGCCCGACAGTCTGTGTCTGATCGACATCGACGCGTTCCTGAACGCGGCGATACTCTGCTCATACGTAATTTTAGAGGAACAACAGCTAGGCAGCTTTGTGAATCCTGATAAATTACTGACACTACCGATCGATCTGACCACGACGTTGTCCACAAGCGCGCAAGAGAAATGGTGGTCCGCCGCTTATAAGATGTGCACGAATCGGGAGAACGTGGACGAAAACATAGGCGAATTGCGACAGGAATTGCAACAAGGTTTGGAGATTGTTCGTTGCATCGGCAATCACGGCATGCATCCGGTGTTGCTGGTGCATCTGGCGCGCATGTTCCATTATCGGGCAAAGACGATGAGAGAGAAGGACGAGGAGAACGGCCAGATTTTGAGATGGGAGACGCGTTCCGAGCTGTACTGGACTGCCGTCATACCACTGTTGGAGAGACTGCAGAACAATCAGACGTTGCGTATGTCTCCGTCGAAGTTGTTCAATTATCAGGGCAAGGACATGAACAACATCGAACTGACAAACGCGATCGAAGAAGGCAAGCTGCTGCTGGCGCAGCGACTTATTCGCGAAAAGCAATACGAACGCGCCATCGACGCTCTTCAAATGCTCAAGTGTCCGGAAGCGACGTTTCAACAGGCCAAGATCTACAAGATATTCGCCGACGAGATAGTGAACTCCACTCCGCGCGAGAGCCTCACGTCGGAGATGCGTTCGCAGCACGTCATAATGCTATCGAAGGCGCGAAACTGCTATTACCTCACACTCGACAGACTTCGTAGCCCCGGCATGAATCCCAAACATCCGCTGAATGCCGAACTCGGCTCTTACATCACCGACATTGAGAACGAGTTGAAGAGAATAGATCCTGATCTGGGCAGAGGTGATTTGAGCAGAAATGACATCGACGGTGTGTCGGACGAGAGTTATTCGTCCGCTCACAGCGTCGGCGAACAGGCGGTCAACAATTCGACGCTGCCGATAGTAACGACTCTGAACAACAGTCCGAATATATTGAGCACTCCTCAGAGAAACGTTCACCGCACGTCAAAACAAGCTACCAGCACGCCGTACAGACCGCAGTATCAGGAACACCTCAATCTGTCGAGGACGCGCATGGAGGCGCGCCCAAGTCCGGAGCGTCTCGACGCTCAGATACGTCAGATGATGCAGTCGCGTGACAACGAAATGCAAGAGCTGACCGAGCAGATGAAGAACATGATGGAGCAGACGAAGAACATGATGACTCAGATGAAAACACTGACCGAGAAGATGGACAGTTTGGCGAAGGAAGTGATAGAGTCTCGCAAAGAAAATCAGAAGCAACAGCAACAACAGCAGCAGCAACAACAACAACAGCGTGTACAACAACAGAACGTCAATCCGCCTGTCGATCCTGATGACTTCTACATTCTCGACGACGATGAGTATGCCGACTTGAACTACCAGAATCAGTCAACCGGACCGGCGTCTGCGATCTCCGGCAACATATTTGCTCCGCAGCATCGACAATCCTATCCCCCTCTGTACCCACCCCCGGCAACTATCTTCCAAGGATATTATCAAGGAATACCGTTCACCGACCCGAACGCTCAGGCTGGCTTGCCGTCCCTGTATCCGCATGTATATCCAATGCCGGTGTTGTATCCGAATCAGTCTAAGATGCCGGAGACTCCGCTGCAGCAAGGCCTGTTCGGATCGGCCTTACCGTCGCAACTGTCCGATCTCATGTCGACGGCGACAGTGCCCGCCGCAACAGCGAGTCCGGCGAATCTGCAGCTGCCGCAGAAATTGGAGATGCCGCGAGCAAAGTCGGAGACGGCAACGATTATCAAGGACGCGCCGGTGAACAAGACGCCGCCCGTGAATGTGGTCATCACGTCGTCCGACACGTTGCCGACTACGGCGCCGCCCGCTCAGCCGACTCTGAGCGTTACCATACCACCACAGTACCGACTCGGAAGCGGACCAGTCGCCACTTTCTCCTCACCAATGCCCGCCGTTGCAACAGCAACTACAGCGATGACAGTGCTACCGACGACACCGACGACAACGACGGTTAAACCGTCGGTGCCGTCTAACGCGCCGCATTGCTACCAGATTCCCATGCCGTCACAGGCCACTATACCGACCACCGTTAACCTACCGCCGACTACTTTCTACATGCCGCCTGGTGTCAACATGCCGTCAACTTATGTCAATCCGACGTCCAGTCCACAATTGTCCACAATCACAATCAATCAGACAACCATCAGCGGGGCTCTGTCGAGCGCTCAGAACAAAGCCGATAGTGTCGTTAAACCTACGTACGAGTCGATCGAGTCGTCGAACACATCAGCGGAGTTGTGCGAGCAGGAACACGACCCGATACCAGATTTCGTGCCCGTCATACCGTTGCCCGCTAAAGTGAAAGTTTTCACCGGTGAAGAAGACGAAGACACTTTGTATTGCAGCCGGGCCAAGCTGTTCCGCTTCGTCGACAAGGAGTGGAAAGAGCGCGGCGTCGGTTACGTGAAACTGCTGCGCAACACAGAGGGCAAAGTGCGTCTGCTGATGCGCCGCGATCAGGTTCTTAAGATCTGTGCAAATCACATGCTGAGACCCGATATGGAGTTGATTCCTCTGGCGAATAGCGACAAGGCTTGGTGCTGGTTCGCGAATGATTTCGCCGACGAGGAGATGAAAATGGAGAAGCTCTGCATCAGGTTTAAAACCGCGGATGACGCGACAGCGTTCAAAGAGGCCTTCGATCAGGTCAAACTTACCTTAACAGCGTCGCCCGAGAAACCGTCTAAGACCGTCGAAAAAGTTTCCGTTTCTTCCGACACATCCAAGATTCAAAAACCGCAACAAGTCAAGATCAGTTCAGCGACGGAAGCGGATAAACCGAAACCGTGCGCGACAACGTTGGGAGGATTTTCCTTCAGCTCAAAGCCTATCATTCAAGAAGTCAAAGACGCTGACCCGAGCGAGTTGAAGAAACCCGAGGAACCGCCAAAAGTCAATCCGTTCAGTGTATTTTCTTTCACAAAGCCAACCACCACTAAGTTCGAGACTGCTGTCATCACAACTAACACTTCGACGCCTACCGGATATGTTTTCTCCGCGCCCTCGACAACGCCTTCGCAGTTGTCCGAATTGAATCAAGGAGCGGCCATATCTGCTGCTACAACGCCATTTACCACGACTGGACAGAATATCACGCCACTGAGAAGACCTCATCCGCCCGGCACAAGACCCGCTGCGTTGATCGGCGAGGAAACTCTGCGATCGCAGAACGAGAACGAACGGAAGTTGTTCAGTGAAAAAATGAGTCTTCATTGCCAAGACGTCAACTTGAAACAATCGAAGACAAAACGTTCAGGTTTGCTGACGTTATTGTTGGACACAAAGTCCGGCAAGCTTCGTTTGTTACTGACGGACGATGGAAATAAGAACGTCTACGGGCACGAAGTCCCGCTGGACATGGCGTTTACGTACAAACCCAACACTATGATTGTCAAGTGGACCGCTCCCGAGGGCAAAGAAGCCAGCAAGAAGCTGTTGCACACAGCGACTTTCCGCACGCAGGAACTGGCCGCGCAGTTCTACAGCATCGTGTCGAGTTGCCAACAGAAGCTAGCTAAGGGTTCCAACCCAGGCGAAGTCGCGAAGGAGCTCGAAAAAGGAGCAGTCCGAACAAGCGAGAACAAGAACCAAACGACGGACAAATCTCAGTCCTTGTCGGAAATGTTCAAACCGCCAGCCGGTTCCTGGGAGTGTCAAGCCTGTTACAACAGAAACGACGCCGCACAAGCAAAGTGTGCGTGCTGCGAGGCACCGTCGCCGTCGTTAGCGACAAGCAACAAAACCAGCTCGACTAATAAACCTTTCGATTCCGGTAAACCGCCACTGTCGGAAATGTTCAAGCCGGCCGCCGGTTCCTGGCCTTGCTCGAGCTGTCTCGTTGTAAACTCCAATACGAACGTGTATTGCGTCGCGTGCGACACGCCCAAGGACCCGTCACAGCCGCCCAAGCCTCAGCAAATCAATATCTTCCAGGTGTCCTCGTCCTCTTCCACGATGCCGATCACCACGTTTTCTTTCGGCATTCCCAAAGATGTCGCTAAGGACACGAGCAACACCGGTTTCAGCTTCCGAATGTCCAAGACGGAGGACAAGAGCGACAAAACAACTCCGGTGAAATCTGAAGAAACTGGTACTGCGAGCGGTTTCGTGTTCGGTGACAAGCAAACGTCAGTCAAACCCACCTCGAACAGCTCGTTCATCTTTGGCTCGCCAAGCAAAACGTTCGGTTTTAATTTCACGTCCAAGTCACCGGTCAAGTCGCCTGGCGGTGGTGGTGAAAATAGCGAGGACGAAGTCGTGGAGAATGACGATATTCAATTCTCGCCGATCGTGCCGTTGCCGGACAAGATCGAGGTGAAGACCGGTGAGGAAGACGAGGAGATGCTCTACAGTCATCGGGCGAAGTTGTTCAGGTTCGACGCCACGGTGAAGGAATGGAAGGAACGCGGACTCGGCGACATCAAGTTACTGCGCCACAAGGAGACTGGCAAACTGCGACTGATCATGCGACGTGATCACGTGCTTAAGCTGTGTCTGAATCATCTGTTGACCGCCGACTTGGAGTTCACATCGAAGGACGAGAAAACGTGGCTGTGGACCACGGCCGATTATAGCGAGGGTGAGATCGAATACATGCAGTTCGCTTGCCGCTTTAAAACGTCGGAAATTGCGGAGGACTTCAAGAAAGCGATCGATAACGCCAGACAAAATATTAATTCGATCACCAGCAGCAGTGAGAAAGCGAACAAACCGGTAACAGCGAAAACGCCGGCGAAGATCGCCGGCTCGTCAGCCGAAGAGATCGAGATCGTTTACGAGACGAAGGTCTCGTCTGAAGAAAAAGAGGCCGCCTTGAAGCTACAGCTCCCAGAGAACTTTTATGCTTACAAACAAAAAGATGACTGTCCCGGCTGCATAGGTTGCAAAGAACCGAGCATTGTGCTGTATTCGGATGCTTGTTCGCAAAGTTCGACAAACTGGAGGTCTCCGTCGAAAGAAAAGCCAGTTATCTCGTCGAGAAACGACTCCGTCAAACTCGCTTCGAGCACAGCTTCATTGGTGTCGAACGACTCCAAGATCACTTCAGAAACCGCTCAGTCGAAAAGCGAATTTCCCACCCGCACAACAACGTCCGGCACGACGTTCAAGGTACCCGCCTCGAACATCTTTGATAGCTCCACGATGAGCTTCGGTACCGGGGACCTGAAACTGTTTAACGACAAGAAGACTATGACCTACTCGTTTGGCATGAATCCTCAATTCAATGTCAATGAAACTGAAAAAACGACGACGACGACGACGACTACGACGACGGCCTCGCTCGAGAACGCCAAGATTTGCAGTCCTTCCGGTATTCAAAGCCCGCCGCCTCCGACCGCTTCCAACGTAATAGTCAGCACCGCGGGCCAATCGGTATTCAGTCAGGCGACACCGACCGGCGGGTCTGTATTCAAAACGTCTACTTTTAGTTTCGATACCGGCAAGAACATATTCGGCGGTACCTTGAACACGACTTCGCCGTCTATCTTCGGAGGAAACTTCAACAACAGTCCCACCAATGTCTTCGCGAAGACAACCTCCGTCACAACCACCAGTACGACCAACTCCGTGCAAAGCGCGCCGACGTCTGGCATTACTATGAAGCCTAATTCGTTCCTGTTCTCTTCGCCATCTTCCAATGCTAACGACACGACCAAATCAACTGTCGATCAGCCTAGTCAGTCTACCAATTCGGTGTTCGGCACCGGAACCGCGCCATTCCCCAAGATGACGTTTGGCAACGCTTCGTCGTTTGGCGGTTCCACGCAGACGACAAACATCTTCGGCGTAACGCTAACAACTACGGTATCAACAACTACGTCTGGTATCTTGAGCGGAACGATGACTGCAACGACGACTACGAACCTAGGCGGAACAACGCAGGTAACGACAGTACCAAACATCTTCAATAAATCATCATCAACAGTCTTCGGCGAGGCGCCAACGGTAGCCAAGAACCTCTTCGGCGGAACGTTAGCAACGACGACAACGCCGCCGCCGCCGCCGCCGGCAACGACCAACATCTTCAGCACGGCGGCGACAACGACAGCGTCGAACGTCTTCAGCGCGCAACCATCGGACAACGCTCAGAAGAGCGAGGAAAGCAATCTCTTCTCCAACAATGGTATATCGTTCTCGACGCTCGCCGCAGCGGCGGCGCGGCCGGAGGCCTTCAAAGCGGGTACGTACGCATACTCGCATCTAATCCTAGTAAAATTGTTCCCATTGTTATTTACAAGCGAGTTCAATTTCGTTCACCGCGTTCAATTATTTGTTTTCCTCACAGATCCCAATTTCAAATTCGCCGGAGCGGGCTCGTCAGTGTTCGGCTCGAAATCGAACACATCGTTAAACAGCTCGACGAAAACGTCGCAGAGCGCTTCAGCGCAGAAAGAGGACAACGAGGAAGACGAGGAAGTGGATAACGAGCAAGAACACGATCCTCAGTTCGAGCCCATAATACCTTTACCAGACGCTATTGAGGTCCGAACTGGCGAAGAGGATGAAGAGAAAGGTAAGACGTTATATATTCCCTCCGAGATTGTGCGCGTCTCAATATCATCAAAAAAAAACAATTGTGTCAGATATAAACACGCTGTATTTTTTGTTTTACAGTGTTCTATCACCGAGCCAAACTGTATAGGTACGACAACGCGACTAAAGAGTGGAAGGAACGCGGAATCGGCGAGATGAAGATCCTGCATCACGCCGGCCACGGCACTTACCGATTGCTGCTGCGTCGGGAACAGGTTCACAAGGTGGTTTGCAACTTCCTGATCACTTCCGACGTTGAGTTCAAACCGCTCTCGACGTCGGACAAGGCCTGGGTGTGGGCCGGCATGAATTACATCGATCAGGAACCGATGGTCGAGCAACTGGCCATTAAATTCAAAACGTCCGAGCTGGCCCAACAGTTTAAGACGCATATCGACAAGATACAGCAGGAATTGCTCGAGAAGAAAACCGTTCAAGGTATATAGGTTTTAATTCGCGAGACTCTTGCCCCGCCTACCACTCCGTTAGCTTTCTCCGTTTTGCATCCGATGTGTCACGCTTTTTGTTTCTTTGCGATGTACTCAACTCATTCATTTGTTAATGATCGATTATTTAAGTTAATTTAGCACATGCTGTTTATTTTAGTTTAAGATAATCGCGTCACACAAGTAGCGTGTTTGTTTTCACACCTAGCGTTTTCTTCACACCTAGTAGCGTTTATCCGGTTACAAAACTAGAACATGATGTATCACAGTATGTAAGTGTATGTTATATGTGAAACCGAATATTTATTTATGCAATCGAGAGGCGATGTGTGTTGACGTTTTTATACGTTCTATCCTACATACATGTAACATTTATTTAATTTTTATTAAAAAAAAAAAAATAGAAGAAATATCAGTTTTGTTAAATCGCCTGTTTATTATTTTATACAAACACGAAATTTTATTATGCTATATATATATATACACACACATATAATGTAACATGTAACAATAAAGTATTGTATCTTCAAGCATTGCTCTCATTTTACGTGTTCTTGTAAATTGCACTGGGAGACAACGGCGAGAATGTATTCATGTTGTTAGACGTCGCGCTTACGGTTTGCGATTTACAATTGATTGTAGTTTGACAAGTAAGCGATTTCAGATTATTTAATGAAATGCGTTTTACACACACAAATTTGAATTCTCTCTGACGAAGTCTCCGATTGACGCGAAACGCATGTGTTTCTCACGTTGATTTTGTATATTCGCACAGAAGAAGAGCGTTACATTATCGAGGAGAGCGAGGAACACGATCGGGGAAACGACGAGGAAGAAGACGACGGGGAAGAGGATGACGAGGAGGAAGAGGAAGACGACGAGGACGAGGACGATCAGGAGATGTTTCCCATAATCGAGAAACGCGCTACCGTTTATTGGAAATTCTCCAAGGAGGAGAGCAACTGGACGCTCATCGGCTTGGGAAACTTGGCGATTCATTACGACTCCGAGATCTTCGCAGAGAGGATCGTTTTCAAGCTCGACGAATCGGACGATTCTGCGGTCAACATCATCATCTGCGTAGACAGTGTCATGGAGGTAATAACAAAGTTGTGACGTTCACAGATGATTGATTTGTTCACTTGTGTTTTGCATCTTTTCACAGAAATCAGTTACTTCAAAATACATTAGATTAGTTTTTATTTCGACTTTTTCAAGAAAATTATAATTAAGTTGCTAATTTTTTTTTTATCGCAAAGGTGGACGGCAAAGAGTGTACGTGGAGCGGAATCGATTACGCCTTGGAGGTTCCCACGAGAAGAATTCTGAGGGCGGTTTTCTCGTCGGAGCAAGCGGCGCAAGAGATATGCACGTTTTTCGAGGATGTAAGTTTTGGCCAAAAAAAGGAGTCGCATAAGTAGATTTAACATCTTTGAGAAAAATCGCGCGCGCTTCTCTCTTTTCAAACTGCTCAGAAAAAATACAAGATGACATGAATTTTTTTACAGGGAGTGGTCAGCGCGAAGCAAGCCGGTGTCGTCGAATATCAAGAATATTGAAGACAAACGAGCTGTAATAGTATAAACCGCGCGCGCGATTGGCTGTTACTAAGTAATTCTCATTATCTTCCTACTTTAGTATAAATTATGTAACCAGGTTGTTTCACCTCGCTCGCAAGCTGCAACGAATAACAGCAGAGAGTGTTGCTTGAAAAAGAATACAGAATTCTTTAGACAAATTTTCTACCGAAAAAAAAAAAAGTCGAGCTGTTTCTCGAGAGATTTCATTGAGGAAGATCGGTTTCTTATTTTTTTATCTATTTATTTATTTTTTTTTTTTTTTAGAATTTGTTTTCGTTACTTTGCAAACTGACTCGCTCAGAAAAATACGCTCGATTTTTTTTTTTTTTTTTTTAACTTAAAGTTTACCGCACGATGCTTCTTTTGCGCTGGATTGCGAGTGTAAGATCGATTGCGATTTTTGTCAAAAATAATTGTTCGCGATCCAGCCACAAAAAAGATGGGCTTAATGTGTGCCGCAGGCTTGACATTATTCAAAGCTTCGCGAAGAGTTTTTTAAAATTTTTCTCCCAAAATCTCACGCGTGACAACAAGTTTTAACTCTGGCGATTAGTATGATCGAAGAAACATGTGAAACATCCGAAAAAATTAAGAGAATTCCTGGTTTTTAATAGCCTGAAATAGAAGAACGTACATTCATCTTTACATAACGTACATACTCTACTCTTCTCCTCTTTCTTTTTTTTTTTTGTTTTTTTTTAGACTCGAGTAACGAAATCTGATGAATTCGATTATTTATCAAGTGCACGTTTATGCGATCAGTTTTGTGTCGCGAGCAATATTTATTAAAACTGCACGAGAAAAAAAAACAAAACAACAAACGCGGATTACACGTCACATCGTTTAAGTTGATCAATTTTTTTATACTAGTCTAAGAGCGTTGTTTTCTCTTCTTTTTTCTCGTAATAACATGTGATATGTGCCAACTAGAGAAACAAAAAACGAAACATTTTTTATTTAACAATGGAAGCATTTCACACACACACACACACATACACCGATTATAAGTCGAGAAGAAAAAACTGTCCTCAAAACTATATATTTTTTTCAAATTAAATGTACTTGTGGACATTTTGTCGACGATGCGAAGACACGCATACATGCTCAGAATACAGCCGATGATACACACGATAGCACAAAAAAAAAAAAAAAAACAAAAAATGTAGCACGTTGACGATTTATTTTTTACCGATTAAGATTATATAAGTACTCGATTGTATTTCAAAGCTCTGGTGTAGTATGTCGAAAAACATTGTAAATACTATACATGATCTTATGATCGGTATTGAGTAATAAAATATACTTGTCTTGAATTATAAAACAAAATGTTATAAGGATTTATGAGAGTTTGCCATGGTGTTTTAGAAAAGGTAAGAAAGAACAATTTATTCTCTTTTTTTTGTAATCCACTCATTCAAACATCCAGGACTGTTCGCGGATCAATTCCGGATGTGTAAGTGGATTAACATTTTCATTTCTAAAAATTTGTATTTCTCTGTCCAGGTAAGTGACATTTTTTGCATCATGCTTTTTTTTAACTTTATTAAATCTCGTTCAAGTTCGTTTTAAACAATTTTTACTGCAATAAGAATTGAACATTTGAAGAGTGAGAACAATTTAAATGTATAATTTTTTAACACAAAGGTGGAAACATCTGTTATTATTACAGATATTGAGATAATTACCTATCGGTATATATATATATATATTTTTTTTTTCTTGATACAATAGTGATTTGATAAAATATGTGATATGACAAAGATACGAGTGAGATACGCGCCCCTTCTCTCGTTCGTGATGTAGCAGTTTTAGTTCGTAAACATTCGACGCAGAGATGCCAGATTCTGAACACTTGGATTGCGTTCGGGGAGCGCGCTATCAGCGCTGTTGCGTCATTCTATCTTTATTGCTCGTTAGATGTAAAACAAAGATAGAATAATGCAATAGCGCTGATAGTGCGCATCCTTGGGCTGCGTTCGGGCAGCACGCTATTAGCGCTATTGCGTCATTCTATCTTTGTTTTACATCTAATGAGCAATAAAGATAGAATGACGCTAAAGCGCTGATAGCGCGCTCTCCGAACGCAGTCCAAGTGTGTTCAGAATCTGGCATTTCTGATTCAACGTCGACGCACAGCTGATTAACGTGACTTGGACTTTGATCCTGTTCGAACTTATATATCTACGAATTTACAGTTAAATTATAACATTTCTCTAATAATTCCTCACGATGTCGATCGTAACGAAAGGTATGTGTGTTTGTTCCACTTTATTCATATTTCTAATTTTTGTTTGAAGAATTTACAAACTTTTTGAAAATACTACGACGCGGATGCGCACGATATCTCGATCAAAATTTGAAAATTTGTGTATTAAAAAAAAAAAATAGATCTGTTTTTCCGACCGCATGTTTGTCCGTTTTGTCGTAAAGTTTTTTCGCGTGTGTAAAATAAAATTAAAACCTTTTTTTTAAAAAAAAAGAAAGAAATGTGAGTGCAACAAGTACAGTGTGAGAGAATAGTAGCGCATACTTGTCAAGCACATTTGCGGTAATTTGTACACGTGTAAAATCTATTTCTCAAGATATATCTACATAATTGCAAATCATCCATCAATTTTTATGCAAGATTTTGTCACATAATTTCATAAATGTTTTCCTGTCGGGGATATGTTGCATATATGTTCACCTATCGCAGGAATTAAGATTAGAATACACTCGATACGTTCCATTTTCGAATAGTTTAAATGTAAGTTTTGTAAAAATTTTATATCGAATGTATGTAAGTTTTACTTTTAAATATATGCGAAAATTTCTGTTTTCGTCAATTTTTGTAAACGATAGTATACCGTCCCATACAGAGCAAAAACTTAATTAGAAATTTATTATCTAGATATTGCATGGAGCTGTTGACATCTAACGTATCTTTTTTCCACAGGTATTTTTATTGTCGCCGCAAAACGCACCCCATTTGGCACAATGGGCGGTATGTTTGTTAATAAAAGCGCAACCGACTTGGCGGTTGTCGCATCGACGGCTGCGATTCAGTCGGCAGGCTTGAAACCCGATAAGATCGACAGTGTGGTATTTGGACACGTTCTAACGGTGAGTGTTTGCACAATCGAATAATAAATTTGACTCGCATTTTCCTTACAAACATTCAATGCGTGTCTAACTTTTAATTTTGTAGTTGTCATCCTCCGATGGAGCTTTTCTACCTAGACACGTTTTGTTGAAATCAGGAATCCCATTGGAAAAACCAGCACTCGGCGTGAACAGACTGTGCGGTTCTGGTTTTCAAGCGGTTGTCACTGGAGCTCATGTAAGTTGAGAGAATTCTAATAACATTCTTGAGAAAACAAGTATTTGATTGAAAATTCTTCACACAGAAACAATTACACAGAGCAATAATGTAAAGATAACTTCAGTGTTGTAACAATTGTTTTTTTATTGCAGAGTATTTTGACGGGAGAATCGAAGATCGTTTTAACTGGTGGTGCGGAAAACATGAGCCAATCTCCTTTTGTTGTAAGGAACGTTCGTTACGGCACCGTTCTGGGTCAGAAATTTGACTTTGAGGACTCGCTCTGGCTTGGATTGAAAGACACTTACTGCAATTTACCTATGGGTGTGACCGCGGAAAAACTCGGTGCCAAGTACAACTTGAAAAGAGAGGAAGTCGACCAATTTGCTTTGAGCAGTCATCAACGCTGGAAAGCTGGTAAGCGGAGAGAAAAATAGAAATCTCTCGTTAAATAGAAGAATTGTAAAAGTGCTTGGTAGGCTCAAATCTATTTAAACACACTTTACAGCTAACGATGCGGGCCGTTTTAATGAGGAAATAGCGCCTGTGCAAGTAACAATTAAGAAGCAGAACACTTCTGTCAGCGTCGATGAACACCCACGTCCGCAAACAACAATCGAGACCCTCGCTAAACTAAAGCCAGTTTTCCAGAAAGATGGTTTGGTCACGGCCGGTTCTTCATCGGTACGCATTATCAGTTTTTCTTCATTTATTATAGCTATATAGAGAAATGTTAAGTTAACTTCTTAATTTCTGTTTTTTTTTTTTTTTTTTTTTTCTTTCAGGGAATCTGCGACGGAGCAGGTGCTGTGATCTTAGCCAGCGAAGAGGCCGTTAAGACGGAAGGCTTGAAGCCGCTAGCCCGTTTAGTGGGATACAGCATTGTTGGTGTGGAGCCAAGTATTATGGGAATCGGTCCCGCACCGGCGATCAAGAACTTGTTGAAACTTACAAACAAGACACTCGATGACATGGATCTGATCGAGGTGAGAGATTTTTACTTTATCTGTAATCTGTAGAAAAATTTACTCTTGTTAATTTTTTGTTTTATTGATTGATAGATCAATGAAGCGTTCGTAGCTCAGACTTTAGCCTGCGCGAAAGACTTGAACCTGGACCTAAATAAATTGAATGAGAATGGTGGTGGTATCGCCCTGGGACATCCGTTGGCCGCCTCCGGTAGCAGGATCACTTCTCACTTGGTGCACGAACTCAGGCACGTCTCTTTGGTACTCTATAAGCTGCTACATTTGTTTAAATATATATGAATGTACTTATCTATGTTTTTTTTTGCAGGAGACGAAAAGGTAAGTTCGGTATAGGATCTGCTTGCATCGGCGGTGGCCAGGGAATCGCTCTGTTGCTGGAAGCGTTGTAATAAACAACAATTAAACACTTGTTACTTATTTTTTTACGCTCTTAATGATATATATATACGGTATACAATTATATGGAAAATCATGAAAAATATTTTTATACACATTTGCAAAGATATTTTACACTATTTTCTTACAACAATGTAAAAACTGTTAAAGAATATATTGATAATTTATGGTTTAATGTTTTTCACCGCATTTCAGTGTTGTTTTTTTTTTTTTTACTCTCAAGGAAACGTATAGGTGTGAAATTCATCGATAGCAGAGTTTGTCGTTAGATAGTTGAACCTTGAAGTACAGTAAAAATCGAGTAGGACATCCGTAGTATCTAAAATATTGCAAAAACCATTAGCTTTTTTTTCTAAACATTTTTAGGCAATGATTAAAAAAATGCCTGAACAGTTTAAACAACACTGTCAGATCAATAAATAAAATATGTTCTTGGTAGGTATTGAAGACCCACACACGTCCATTAGACGTTCATCGAGACGTGTGGGTCATCCACAACTTCGTGTGACGTCTAATGAACATCTAATGGAGGTTTGTGGTTCCGTGTTTAGGATCTAATAAAAATTGACAGTCATTTTTACATCAAGATATTGATATTCTCGAAGCTAAAAATCAATCATTGCTGTGGAAAAGATATTTTATTTCTTAATAAATTTAATTGAATTGATTTTTTACTTTAGACAAATATTTAAAAAATAATCTACGCACCTGAACAAAAGTATCCAGTGACAGTAACATGATATTGCCGGCGCTCAAAGTGAGGGGAGTTTGAGCTCTCATCATCACGAATCGCAGATTGCGTTTAAATCCTTCCGGAGCGGAGAACCAATTGCTCGAATACGCAGCCGTGACTATGCGCACGCTCTGAAACAACCGCGTCTTTTTTCTCACAATCGCCGCGTTCAAGTAAATTTTTAAATATATAACATTTTTTTTAAACACTCACGTGAAGATGCACCTCGTTACCGTGCCAGCAAAAGATGAATATCTGATACGTCATGCAGCACATGTATGTCAGCATGCCGATCAGCACTTCCGGGATGTAAATCTTCATCTGCGACACAACCGCGATTCCGTGAGAATTTGCAAGAATGCCGGGATCGGTAATGATCGGATTTATACCTGCGACACGTTGAAAGCGATCAAGCAAATGATAACGCAGTTCGAGAGAAGTTGAAAGAAAATGACGGTGCCGAAGATATCTTGAATTTCTCGCGTGAAACTGCAAGTCAAAACGGAATTTGATTTTGTCAAGTCCAAGCCAGAACGTGTAAATGTGTTTATAATTACTTTCCCTATTCTTTTGTTTATTTGTATTACCAAAGTTTTCACAAATGTTTTTTGTTTCATTAAACAAAGCGACTGCTTACTGATGTATCATATTGCTGTGCACCGCGCACTGCTTCAGACTCCGATAGAACAAAACTCTCTTCTCGGCTATCAGCAACTGGCTCTTGTCGTTACGCGCCGAGGAACCGTTCGTCTTCTCGTTACCTATCGAGACGATGTTCCGCTCAAGAATCGCCAGCTGGCAACAAACGACCGTGATCATGCCGGTGATCAACGTGTCCATCGCTACATTGTGAAAACAAGCGATTATTATGGCGATTCCTTGATGCGCGGAGGTGATCTCGAACGCCGGCGTTCTCGTTACGTTGTAAGGGTACCATCCCTCCATCGGCAGCTGACGCGAACGACCGGCCAGTAGATCGGCGATGGGTGTGATGCCCCAACAGAATACCGCTGTGGCGCCGAAACTTTGATAGGCCGCATAATGGAACAGGCCCTTCCACGTGTAGGTCACGAAGAGATCGTGATGCGCCTTGTGATTGAATGCCGGGCTACTGGTTAAATCCAGGAGAGCCCGAATCCGCGACTGACGAGTGAGAAGAACGACCACCTTGAAGTATATTTAAAATGCGTTCTTTTGTTGTAGACAAATATTGAAATGTGAAAGATGATGAAATTATAAAGTTTTTTCATGTTCACACAATTTTCACATGTCATTTATATTACTATTGTCAGTCATATATTTAAACATATATAAACAATAGAATCCAACAATTTAATAAAATATATAATAAAATATACATATGTGTAAAAATGAAATAAAAATTTTTATATGAGTAGAAATTTAATATAAAAAATAATCGTCCGCATTTATCGAAAACAATTTCTTTTTTTTCCATCTTTTCTCGAACGACAGTAATTACAACACCGCATTT